ACCAGTGTGAAGGCTTTTAACAATGGTCCAAGAGTAACTAGTATTAGACAGACAGATTCTAACTGAATAGATCCTAAAAGAGAAAGATTTTTAACATTCAATTCTAAAGACTTGCTACGATTAATATTGGATTTTCCAACGTCTTCTATAAGTCATTATCTATTTCCGAGTTATTCTGTGTACATATTATATTGTTTTAAAAATCTTTTCATATCATATAACGTTTTAATATTGTTGAATGATATCATAAGAAGTTCGTTAATATATTAAAGGAACGCGAATCCAAGCTCCTTTGCACCACAGTCCTAATGCACCAGAAATTGCCTCTTCCAACTGCGTAGGTATGACTAACTGAACAAATACATGCAAGCTCAATCTAAAATCCACGGATGTGGTCCGAGAATTTAAAATACCGATTCAATATAAGAATTAATTTTCAGGGTCTTCCTGTTAGGATTAGTCTATAATAAATTATATTATATTTTTATTGAAAGCGAAATGGAATAAACGGAAACAATATCTTATTAATATATTATTATTATTAAATAAATTTAACGTATTGGTAATTTTCTAAGAAGGCGTGGATCTCGAATCGCGAAATCTGATATAATAAACGAGCCCCAAATACAACAGTCAAACAGCCCTTCCATTCATTAATTTGCCGTACAGTAGGTATATATGGTATGTCATTTTATTCTAGAACTCGAACTTTTTAAAGCGTCATTACAACAACAACATTACAGGTGATATTCTTTTCAAATACCTACTTACAACAGGTTTGATATAACGCAATTAAATTCATAATTCAATCAAGTATGTATGTAGGATCCAGGGATACTAATAAAAGCGTTTATAACACTATTTACTATTTATTCCTTTTAAAATATTATAAAAACAATGTTCACGCGTATCGTCGTGTCGTCATTATGACACAACATCCTTCGTTTCTTTTATTCCTCTTTCATTCCATTCCATTTTTAAAATTATATCATACCTGTCCTTTTATTCTTAAAATATCATTTCATGCATACTCATCTCGCAAATCCTACATGTATGTAACAAAATATTTGTATACCAACAATAAAATAATGACGCAAAATATTTTTTATAAATATTTTGCCATCGATCGTCCATATCCATAACCTAAAACCATGCCAGCTCTACAAGTCAACTCTAAAAGAACGACGAAATATGTCAAATAAATCTAAGAAAGTAGGTATATCACATAATTGTAGAGATATTTAATGAGGGCATATTTTTTTTTATATTAGGCGATGTCTATAACCGATTCTCATAGTCATTTTATGAATGTGTTGTATTGTGTAATGATATTGAAATCGATGTTCTTATTAGAAAAACCGTAACCGTACGTACAAACAGTAATAAAGAAGTATTTTTTATTAGCGTTTTATTAAGATATATTATGTACATAAAAAATATATTATGTATTATTATAAGTTATAATACAAACTTCGTAGCTTATAAAAGCAGCATAGCAGAAAGTATTTAATCGAGTGCCTTGTCACAGCTCTTCGCAATTAAGTTTAATTCGCACCGGGACCACTGCTGTTTGAAATTCGATTACAGAGGTTGTCAAAGCGGACGGGACCGGATGAGGTTTAAATTGATTCCGATACATCAGAATATTATGAAAATGCCTTAAATCTAAAATATCTTGACAATTTTCAAAAATATTCTATAAAGCATACGTATGACAACTACGGAACGACAACAACACTACACAACCAACTACTACGAACAGCATCGGACAGTACAGTATATTAATGTAAAGGGAAGGGAAAGAAGAGTTTGTTTTTTTTTTTGCTTTGAGTGCAAGCGAAGCCGCGGCTTCTGCTAATATGTATAATAAAATTAAGTCAGAACATTTGTATATAATACAACTTATTTTTTATTTAACTTGTAACCGATCTATAGAACTATTTAAAACAAAATGTAGCGAGAAATCTATATACAAATATATAATTATATCTATTTGTTTGTGTATTGTGTATGTATAAGTGGGCAAAGACGAAAGAATTCAGTAACTTTTCTTCTCTATTTGTCAACCGATTTTCTTTTTTTTTTTTGTTCAGTAGCTATTGACGAGCTTTAATTTTATCAATAAAAGAAAAATCGAAATGGTATTATGTTTACATAAATAAGTAAAGACAAAACTGTCCAGGACCTTTTTGTCCGTTGTCCTATATTTGTCAACCGATTTCTTTGTTTTTGTTTAATAGGTATGGACAAGTTTTCGTGTTATCAATAAAAACATATTATAGTTGAATTTCGAACAGTGCACCACTAGTTTAAATAAAATATCATTCGTCATGTCATAAACATATCTGCGTTAAGTTTCCAACATCACTTTATACATACATATATTATGCAACAAACATCCTTAGCAGGAACCTTTAGATCCCTTTAATGCCTATTTGTAACTTACATCTCATAAACTCATCAGTCCCTAAAGAATAATCTACTTAAATGTTATATAATGTTTACAGATGGAATTAAATGCTTTTTACATGAGCACTACTAAGTTTTAACACCTTCAGGTAAATTTCTAAGAAATTAATTAAATGTCTAAGAAATCTATTGGTTACTGTAACGCCGGCGTATCAATAAAAACTATTACAGTTTATATAACAAAAATCAAAATATATTTTTCATATCTTTAATACTATTTATTCATATTCCTAGCCTAAACAAATATTAGAGAATAGTTTGAAAGAAAATTAACTATAGCGAAAATAAAGTTTTCAGATAAGCCTTAATTGTTTTATTATTTTATTTGTTCAAGAAAAGTGTGAGAAAGTTAAGTTAGAATTCTTAGAAATTCAATTACAAGTTACCAAAGTCACTTGTACGTTTCGTCTCAGCGGTATGAGTAAAGTTATTGGCGCTACATTCCAGTTACCTTCTACGTTTGTTTACTTACCTGTACCGTCAATCTAGAGGGCTTATTCAATAGTTTCTATTAAATTACATGACTAGATTGCCTCATTCGTCATATATGATTGCCATTAAGCCGTATTTCTAAGTACTAATCTCAACTTGTCTGCAATATCGTATAGGGCATCATATGCCTTCAAGCCCACTGAACGAAATAAAATCAACAAATTATTGACTTGCTACATACACCCTAGAAATTTCATTAAAATCTGCTCAGCAGTCATATGCTTCAAATTGGCACGTGTTTATTTTTCTTAAATTAAAATATCGACTTTTAATAAATCTTTATTATATTCTCAGCACAATTTTATTATTTTTACTACTTTTGAGTTATTCTTATATGGAAAATATAAAAATATTAAAAATAATAATTAATAAATATATTGGGACATTAACATTTTCAACAAACAGCATCATCTAGTTCCATGGTAAGCTACGAGGCTTGTGCTATTTATGGATACCCGATAGTTGATACACTACACATATATAACTTTAAAAACATACATAGGTATTATAAATATAAACGCCCACAACTGGAGTACAAATATTCGTGCTCATGACATAAATGAATGCCCCCAGCGGGACTCGAACCCGCAACCGCTGGCACATTAGGTAGGATAAGGTAGGGCACTACAACTGAGCCAAAGGTGTTGTCAAAATAATTTTCTGAATAAGTGAACTTTTCAGCCAAGATTGCCTTTGCCGGGCATGATAATAATAAAGGGTAGAGTAAGTTGAAAGGAAAAATAGCTACCTTTAAATTTATTATACTCCATATTGCCAAAAAGTATAATATAATATATGCAATTGAAATTCGATTGTAAGCACGAACAATAGATCTTGCAAGTTTAGCACTCAATTATTGTCCAGTTGATCCCACTCTGTCCGTGATGAATTATTGACATCCAGTACAACGGCAGACAGGTAGGTATAAGCCGCAATGCGGACGGATTTAGAAACCCTCAAATAAAAGCTTTACCCATGCATGAAACTGTAAATTACTTTGAACATGTCAGCTTGTTTAATCTATGCATAAATCTTTCAGGGAACTGTTTGTACGATATATTTTTTTTAAGTTTTATGTGATAAACAATAGTGTGTACATAGTATAAATAAATCTATGTCACATTTTTACTTCATTATAATATACATACATAGATTCAAAATAAATGGCTTAGTTCAGCTTGTGTTTTCCTTTAATTTACACATTTACATATAAATTATAAACTAGCCCTTTTCATCCTTCTCAGAATTGTAGCCTTCATATTCCAGTTGTTTGATCTGTGCAATAGTTACTTATGCAATACAAACACTTTTATAGACAGATAGTTTTATAAATTACTAGCGATTCAACCTCGCTTGGCTCGGGTTCGTCCTTAGGTTTTCGTCGTTATCATGGTTAGTATGAAATACAAATCTTTGAATTTCGCGGATTTTCTGTACTATAATATGCATGTATTCAGTATTATACATATAAACCTTCCTATTGAATCACTCTATCTATTGCTGAAAACTGCATTAAAATCCGTTGAGTAGTTTATAAGATCTAAACGAACAGACAGCGGAAGCGACTTCATTTTATACGAATTTTAAAATTGTGTACGTATTAGTCAAACCTTTTATGCCATACCACAAACTACATTATTAATACATAGGTAGAAATGTTACGCTAACACTAACATTAAGTCCATAAAATACAAAGTTGACTGAATTAAAAGTTTACTATGAATGCTGTAAATCCAATTAAATTATAGAATGTAATAAATAATAAAAAAAGAAATTATAAAATTATGTAAGTTTAGTTTAGTTCTTTATATTGTTATTTACTTCCGTTGAGTTCCAACATTTCTGAACGGAAATGTTATTGTGCTGTCACTTTGACGCTGTCAATAATGTCAATATTTAATCCTGATTTCACTCACGTTGTGCAATTTATTCTTGTTATTTTCTTATAAGTGACGACTTTTTATCTCTATTTTCCAATTAAACACTTGTCTGTTCTTATATAAACTTCGAGTGAACATAATTACTTATAATATCGCAAAATGAGGCTCGTAGACACATTAAAACTTTTGGAACTTCAAAACAGTCCTACAAATATTCGTAATATTTGCATTGTAGCCCACGTGGACCATGGGAAAACGACTTTGGCGGATTCCTTGATATCTAGTAATGGTATTATCTCCCAAAGAATGTCTGGTAAACTGCGTTACATGGACAGTAGGCCAGACGAACAGGAGAGAGGTATCACCATGAAAAGCAGCAGTATTGCACTATACCATGCTTTGGATACACAGGAGTACCTTGTGAATTTGATAGATTCTCCTGGCCATATAGATTTTTCAAGTGAAGTGTCAACTGCAGTCAGATTATGTGATGGTGCTATTGTTGTTGTAAGTTCTTCTGTGTTTTATCAATATTTTGCATAATTCGAGATAGTTTATGTGAAACCTCATGTTATTCTTTTAAAGTTATGTGACCTGTTAAAATTATGGTGTATTTTGTAACATATTAAAAGATAATTAACATGACAGATGCTTATTTTTATTTAAAATTACAAATATACAATCATAATCATAAGAAATTTTTATATTACATTTTGTTTTAAGTAAATCTTTATATAAGTACTGTCACTTAATTTTCTCTGCTTGTATTTAATATTACATTTTAATACAAACAATTCTATATGTCACAACAATTTCAGGTTGATGTTGTAGAGGGTGTATGTCCACAAACAAGGCTTGCCTTAAAACAGGCTTACTCTGAGAATATCCGAGCAGTTCTTGTTTTAAATAAAATAGACAGATTAATTGTTGAAATAAAAATGACACCACTTGATGCATATGTTCACATTACACAAGTATTAGAACAAGTTAACGCTGTAATGGGAGAGCTATTTGCTTCTAAAGTTTTAGAAAATGAAGAAAACTTGATTGATAAACAGGTTAGTTATTGAAATAATAATATCATAAATAATATTAAAGTACATTGTTAAGTGACTAATTTTTCGATTACCCTTTTAAAAATGAACTTAAGCAATGCATCAATTATTAAAAAATATGAGTTTTGAAATATAAATAAAATTCCAAACACCTACATAAATTACAAAAAAGTGCCCACAAAATATATTTCTTAATATTTTAAAACTAAAATAGATATTTGTTATTACATATATTGTTTATAATTACAGCAAAAGTCAATGCCAAAACCTAAAGAAGATAATAATTTCTATGACTGGACCTCAGCTCTGGAAGATGCAGATGACTCAAACTTATATTTTTCACCGGAACAAGGAAATGTAGTTTTTGCAAGTGCTGTAGATGGATGGGGATTCACTATTCAAACATTTGCAAAGTTATTTTCAGAAAAACTTGGTAAATTTAATTTTTCAGGTTTTATTTAAGCATTCCTTTAGCTTACTCAAAAAAATTACATGTGAGCCTAAACTCATCTATCCTTAAATCTTTGTGTTTTTTTAAATATTTGCTTTAACTACAGCTATTTTTCTTACAGTTACCTATTTTACACAATGAATTAAAAATACACAAACATAAGGCTCCCTTATTTATTGTCTATTTATATCTCTCATTTTGCATTAGATAGCCCGTTTATTGAGAAAGGCTCTAGGCTATATATCATATAATGTATAGTCTATCTCCTATCTAGTCTATTCCATACTAATGGTAAAAACAAACCTAGGGACGAACCCGAGCAAAGTGACGGTGAGTCACTAGTTTGTTACAATATAATATTCCATATATCAACCATTTTTTTACTTTTTTTGTAGGAGTTAAAGAGGAATTGCTTAGAAAAGTTCTATGGGGTGATTTCTATTTACATCCAAAAATGAAACGTTTTATGAAAGGTGCACAAGAAAAAGCGAAAAAGCCCCTATTTGTTCAAGTTGTTTTTGATAATTTATGGAATATATATGAAACTATAGTTATGAGAAATGATAAGGAGAAGGTCCCAATGATTTGTGAAAAGCTTGGTATTAAACTAACAGCTAGAGATCTTAGACATACAGATACTAGAATTCAACTGCAATCTTTGATGATGCAATGGCTACCTCTATCCCACGCAGTATTAGACATGGTGTGCAAAAAATTGCCTTCTCCAAAGGAAATTTTGCCTGAAAAAGTTGAGAAGCTTATGTGCTCTCGCATAAGAGATTTTGATTCCTATCATGATGATACTAAGAAACTTAAAGATGACTTTCTTGCCTGTGATAGTAGCGACAGACCTGTGATTATTTTTATATCGAAAATGTTTAGTGTTGATAAAAGTTCGTTGCCAGAAAATAAACCTAAGCTTCTGACACCAGAAGAAATGGCTTTAAGAAGAGAAAAGGCAAGACAAATACGTGAAGAGAAAAAACAAAATAATACAAATTCTGAAGCGATTACAATATCAAAAGAACTTAACGAAAAAGATACTGAAAAGTGTATTAAGGATGAAAATGAAACAGAAGATGAAAATTCAACTGTATTTATAGCATTTGCTAGGATATTTAGCGGTAGAGTTAAGAAAGGGGATAAATTATATGTACTTGGTCCTAAACATGATCCGTCACAAGTACTTTTGAGGAAAGATTTTCAAATAGATCCTAATAAGAAATTGAAAGACTTGCAAAGTGATGAACATATAACATGTACTGAGTAAGTTTATTTTGTTTTTTTTTAAGATAAGAATAAAAATTGGATTTTAAACTTTGATATTTTTTATAATAATAATTAATTACAATGGAAAATAGAAACAGTTACAAATACAAATTATAAAAGGTATTTTATAAGATTTCATAACAAATAAAACTAGTAAATTTTCATAGTGTAGTTCATTTTATTAAGCATTATATTTGCGTTTCAGGATAAAATCCTTATATATTTTAATGGGTAGAGAATTAGAAGAGATTAATGAAGCAGTAGCCGGTAACATTATAGGTAAGATAATATATTTATATATTACTAGCGACTCACCCTCGTTCCGCTCGGGTTCGTCCCTACTTACGTTTTAACGTTTAGTATAGATTTCTCAGAAATGAGATATTTTACCGCGGTATATAATATTCTATATATTGACCTGGATAACCAGCTATCATCATACCAAATTTCATCAAAATCTGTCCAGTGGTTTTCTCGTGATGCGGTAACAGACAGACAAAAAAACTAAAAACTATAGATTCGGATTCTATATCGATAATAATGGCTATTTCAATTAGATATTCCAGAAAATATTTAATTTAGAGATTCGACAGAGTTACAATTTTAATATATGTATAGATTATAAAAATCTGTTGATTTTGATAATCGTATTTATTCTGTTTTGCCACTTAGTTAACATCTTTAAAATATGATAAACTACAGCTTTATATATACGCTAACGTTAGATGGAATCCTGCCCTGCATCTGTTTTTTTTACATTTAACTTAAAACGTAACGCCTGCGTAATTTAAATTGCTACAACGTCATTTTTCGTATAAAATCGATCTCACCCATTTGTGAACATGTTTCTTTATAACTCACCAGAAACATGTGTTGTTCATCCATACTAATATTATAAAGAGGTAAAGTTTATGAGTTTGTGACGTTGTAGGGGGTAATCTCTGGATCTACTGAACCTATTTAGATGAAATTTGGTAAGAAGATAGTAGTAGAAGTAGATTTGGTAAGAAGGTAGGTTAAGGTGGGATATAGGATACTTTTATCCCGGAAATCATCCCATAAGGGGGTGAAAATGTGGATGATAGTTTATATGGAGAATCAATCCCGGGATGAACTCGAGGGTGAGTCTCTTGTATCTATAATTAATATTATTATAAACAGAATTAAAGAGTCTGTTTATGATTTTCAAATAGTTACCCTTTATTTATTAATAGTTATTTTATTGAGTTCATAATGGATGGCTATTTGCGTAATGTTAAAATGTGAGAACTATAAAAAAATTCTCCATATGCAATGGTTTATATAAAATTTATTTAAGTATATTAATACGTATATCCTTTAGGTATAGGTGGATTAGAAGAATATATCTTGAAGACAGCAACTCTCAGTAGCACTATAGCTTGTCCGGCATTCAGTGAAATCCAGTTTGCAGCCGTACCAATTTTAAGGGTCGCCATAGAACCCACTTATCCTTCACAATTACCTCAACTAGTAAAAGGTACAAAGTATAATTATATTGTGTTTGTCACATTATATATGTGTACTTATTATAAATGCGGAAAATAGTGTATGTATAAATAAATTATGACCTTCTGTTACTGTTAGTAACAAAATTTGCCAAAAGATGGCGATGCTACATAATATAGAATAACTACTAGAACTCTTGGAATGTACTTAATCAGGAACTTGTATAGTAACATTAATAAGATTTTCATTTGTTTAATCAAATGTTTTTTATATTTTATGTAAATATTTTTGAATTGAAACTTCTTTAGAATCGTTGTGACATGAAACTCGATGAAACGAAAATACGACACGAAAAAGAGACAAACACATAATATATAACATTGAGCCGGCCAGAGAATGAGATAGAATACATTACACGCTACTATGACTAATTGTTGCCATGGTAACCGTTGTTATTGTCTGACAAATGATATATAATATTATATTCTTTCCGTTTATGATAAATATATGATTTTATAGAAATAAATATATGATTGTAATATGCTTAATCTTAATATGCCTTATTTAAATATTGATTTGTTTAATTTAACTCAAGCCTCGTAGCTTACCATGGAACTGGATGGTTCTGTGTGTTAATGTCTTAACATATTTATTTATTTTGCGGTATTTGCCAAAGAAGTTTCACTTTTACCGTGAGTGAATTGCATACACACACATTTTATTTTTTTATTTTTCCGTGTATTTTACATACATATGTATATTGTTTAATTTCTCTAATTCACCATTTGTATATTAAAACAGGTTTACGACTTTTAAATCAATCGGACTCTTGCGTTCAAGTGCTATTGCAAGAAACCGGTGAACACGTTTTAGTGACTGCTGGTGAAGTTCATTTGCAAAGATGTCTTGAAGATCTTAAGTAAGTCTATATGTTTTTTTTGCAATTGATACTATCGAATGGTAATAATACAGAATGGGTTTATTGTTCGATTCCTGGCTAGCAAAATAATTTATAAACACCGGACTCGGGAATGCTTTGATTAGAGAATCATTGTACTCTTTCACAGTGAAAATAAAAAGAAAGTTTCATTTACGATAGATCTATATTACATAGTTTTAAGTTTTGCTTAAACGTAACTTTTCATATCAACTTTATCAAAATTTAATATTTGACCTGATATTTTGGACCGTTCCCAAAATATAAGAGCATCAATACCAATAATTCATAATTGCGTATCGGTCTTTTAGTCCCAAAATGTAAGAGAATACTAATGATATTTGAATTTACTTTTAGAAACTTGTACGCGAAAATACCGATTTCCGTATCAGAACCAATAGTACCATTTAAGGAAACAATAATCGAACCACCAAAAATAGATATGGCCAACGAAGAAATAGATTCACAAAATATAGACAAAGGCGATGCCGAAATAGACCCGCTAATAACAATATACACAAATAATAAACAAAGTAGAATAAAAATTCGAGCCAAACCGCTACCTAATGAAATAACACTATTATTAGATCGATCAACAGATTTACTTAAAGCGATATCACGACATATAAAAACATTGCAAGGCTCATCCAAGAACGAAAAACTTGAGACCAAATTCGACGAAATGCATATAAATAAACATGAATTATCAGATCGAATGCTACGACTTATAGAAACATTCAAAATGGAGTTAGAAGGTATATGCTCAAAATTAGACCCTGAGTGGAAAAATGTCGTAAAGCAAATATGGTCGGTAGGACCTAGAAATTGTGGTCCAAATCTGCTTTTGAACCAAACTCCAGATTATAATACCAAGTTTTTGCATCACGATAAAGTATTGATAAAAGATCCAAGGTTTGAGTATGAGAGTAGTTTTGTGAATGGCTTCCAATTGGCAACATTGGCTGGACCGTTGTGTGATGAACCAATGATGGGTGTGGCCTTTATTGTCGAGGAATGGAGCTTGGATAAACGTGAGGAAGATACGTTGTACACGTTCGGACCATTATCAGGTATATATTTTTTTTAATTAATAATTTTATTTAATAATCCTAAATTACTTATAAAAATATAACTTGTATATATTTTTCGCCAAATTCGCCATTTTAAATATAATGTTATCCATATTATAGCCTTAACACTCGCGTCATCAGGATGAATCTTATGACGTATAAATCTTTAAAATCGGTTTAGTAATCACGAGGGATATAGGCTCGGGCATATGTATGTACAATGTACATATGTATATACATACAGATCAAAAACACATAATCCTTTTTTGGGCTTTGCCATAATTGGGTAAAAACTAAAAACTAACCTATGATAGTCCGTTTAAAGAAAGCTATGTCCAAAAAGTTTTGAAGTTATACTTCTTTTGGCACGTTTGGAAAAAAATATGAGAATAAAATTTTTACTATACGCGTGCACACCAACAGTCAAAAAGCGACATGATGAATTTAGCTGTATTCCTATTACAAACAGAGAGTTATGACTTGTGTTACTTGTTTTGTTACGCCAAAGAAGTATAACTTCTTACATGCGTACATACTTATGTAAAAAAAATGTGCGTGTGTAAGTACACACACACACATTTTCTTTTTACTAATTTGAATTTAATTTTTATACTCTATACAGGTCAAATAATGTCGGCAGTGAAAGAAGGATGTAGGAAAGCATTCCAAGCGCAACCGCAAAGACTGATGGCAGCTATGTACTCGTGCGACATTGTAGTGGATCAGAGGGTATTAGGTAAGTTGTAAATAAAGTTACTACCTAGTAAGAAACATAAATACTCTTAAATTGTTTTATACTGCTTCAATAAACCGCCATTTTCAATCCCATTCTATATCAGTACGACCTTCAGCGGCGTCAATCATTAAGTTATACATAAAATAATCTGTGCTTTATTTGAAATTTAAAAGAAACTATGCATATTTCAAGAGGTAAGTAAATCTATATACATATTATTATATGAAACAAAGTCGAGTTTGTTACAACACTTATAACTCGAAAACTGCTGGACCGGTTTTTATGATCTTTGTTTTGTTGGATGTCTTTACCCGAATAGCAGAATAACTATTAAAAGATCGGAAAAAATCATGATTTTTTTTTAATATTCCATTTTAAACGTCAAAATGTACCTAAAGACGAACCTGAGCAAAGCGAGGATGAGTAGCTAGTATCTTATATTTTTTAGTTAAGTTCTTCTTACAGTCTAAATTTGTTATAAAATATTGACTACCGAGCAATCTTTATCAGTTTCACATTTACACATTTGATTGGAAATCATAACTTATTCTGGATATTACAATAAGAAAACGTCGAATATTGAATTAATTTTATTCATTTGTAATTACAAATATTGTAATTAACACTAATATTTACAAAGCGATTGTCTATAATACGTTTTGATATAAATATTTTATATACTAACTTAAATAGCTATAAATGCATTGAAATACACAAAAAACACTGAGTTTCGTATCACATAATTTTGTGTAGGTACATTTAAATATACTTATATTATATTCACCAAATATCTGCGTTTACACCCCCTTTTTTATTTAATTGGGCATTTTTAGCCCATGTTTTCTTAAATCTATGGCTTTCATCCATCTGGCAAATGATTATTAATTAAAAGTATAAATAATACTATGGATTATTAAGACTTATAAAATAAAACGTATTGCTGAGAAAGGTACGAAATATTACTCTCTATTAAATGCATCGAGTATTCTACAGGCTGATTATTTTCCAATACGAGAAAAAAAATAAAAAAATCAGACTTAATCACATAACTGGTTAATGGAAGCTAAAGCGTTTTGAAATTATATATATCGTTGAAAGTCTTCGTTGGATGCAACGAGGCGACTCAGCCATCTTGAACCCAACCTACTTTTCACAACAATAAGATTAATTTCCACTTAATTGATCCAATGTAACGCGCGTGCCAATTCTTTCACCTTATACCATGGGAAAGGAGGGTATTCTGACGTCATTCGTCTAACTCGTGCGGCTCTAGATCTTCTATTGTAGAAGTTAGAGTCCATATAGCTGTGGGTATGATATCGGTTGTACACGGGCTTATCGTATGAATGAGCTTGAGAATAGTCTACTTTGTACGTGCTTGTAGTGCTCTGGACACCGCCAGTGTATCTATTTGCGTTGTAACCTGAAATTAATTGTAATTTTTTATTATTATTATTTTTAGATTTATATCAAGAAATAAATCAAGTAAAAACTTGATAGATTTATCACATTCTACCCAATCTACATGCGAAAGTAAAATTAAATGTTCCATATTCTACAACTAGATATATCTTCTTTTACGACATTCTATAAGATAAGTTAAAGTTAGCCTTTGACTTACGGCCAAGTAATGCACTAAATCTTTGCTTTGTTCTCGCTAATACCTTTATAAATCAGCGTTGAGGCCATAAAACACTGAGTATTGCGATATGGATATTTCTTAAACGTATAGATAGTAAAGTGACTCACCGGTGTGATAAGAAGTTGGTCGGACGCACATCATGCCGTAAACTCTTATTCCTGGTACAGACGCGTACGTAGGCTGGTCGTGAGACATCGGCCCCTCTGTAAGATAAAACAATCTTGTGTACTCCTTAGAAATAAACGACCCGTATATCTTATCGAATACCATCGCGCTTTCTTTTATAAAAACTTGAATTACATATATCACAAAAAAAAAATATTTGCGAATTGTAACCCTCTAAATACTCGTAAGTAAAGAATGAATAATAAAGTTGTTTTATATAAAACTTACCAAGTATATGAGTTTCGGGACATCTACAAATCACTAAATAGTGTGACTTGCCAGTTCGTATATTCTGGAGCGCTAAAAGGGACCAATCTCTAGGCGCGCGACATTCTCGCATCTCAGATACCGCTTCGCACGTCTTCACTAACGTAACTGCCTTCTTTGCATACTGAAATTTTAGAAAATTTAGGTTCTCTACATTTTTTTATATAATTTATATATAATTTATATATATGTTAAATAATAAAGTGCCAAAATTCAAATTTTCTTCCTTTACAAGGATCTTTTTATGATATTGCTCATATGACTGACATTTTTAATTATTTGGTATGTTATTATCAGTCAATGCAACTAATGCTTACATGAATTATAATGATTTTACAGTGTTATATCTAAAGCTTTTGAATCATCAGAATTTATTTAAACAAATAATAATAAGTAGATTTTAATGACAAATATAAACGGATCGTAGATACTATCGTATTATAAATTTTGTTCATATTCAGATCCCCTCTCATTTCTAGTACGTCTTTAAACGTGTGCATATTCTATACGCAAAATACACGAGGATACGATTAAAATTCCACTACAAGTCTCGATCGAAGGATTAAAATTCCACTACAAGTCTTGAATCCCTCGTAAGTACAAACACTTGACCATTAAACCACTCTGACAACAGTTAGATGATTTATGATATAACAAATACCCAACACCGGTTAGACGCGATCAGTAATCGACAGGAAACTTGAGCATGATTCCTTGTATCTGATAAATCAATTTACTCCACAGTATTACCGCTAGCTACCCATTAAACCTTAGCAGCAAGGAATTATTCCTATCATGGCATAGAATGTGACGCCGTTAACTATAATGCTTGTCACCTTCTTTTTGGAATCCGTAGTTAGTCGAGTGGTATGTAAGTCATCGGCGTTGAGACTAGCGGAGCATGGGTCCCTGTATCTCGCTGGACAGGCGCATAATGGTTGGGTGTAGTTCAAACGCACGTATACAGCGTTGCACACCTGAAATATATTATTAACTAATCACGCACCTTGTTATAGTAGAACCTCTAATTATAACTCTGGAATTAGTTATCTGTTTAACTTAATGGCTTTTTAAGTGGTTATTTTTTTATCTGTACTTCAGAATAAGCAGTCTTTATATTAAGTATATCAGTTAGAACATGTAGAAAGAATACGTAATAAGTAGTCAAAATTATTGGTATAAGTTGGTACAATATATTTAAAGAGGTTCTCGCGAAACGATAATATCAAAAGATCTTTCTTCTATTGTCAAAGAAATAAACGTGATTGTGGTTTTGAATTATTATAGGAAGTTTAAAGGGTTTTGTCAAGTCTTATTGCTTGTGCTATTCGTTTTGAATATTATCATTTGCTATTACTGTACCCACAATGGGAAATTTCATTACCTGTTGAATAGCGCATTCTGGTAGTAAATAAATGTGTTGGTTGTGTGGATAGTAATGGTACTTAGTTGGCTTCGCGAGCACTGAAGTGGATCCCGCTGGCAATGGCACCGTCTGAAATCAAAGACATGCCAATGATTAATGTTCCTTTTGTGGAGAAAATTATTTCTAAAGAAATCGTGTTATTACTATACATTCTTTCTATTGGAATAAAGTTAAGTATCAAAAACATATTCACCCATCACATCCAATAGTAGTAATATTTTAATGCTAAAGTATATTTCATGTAGTATTTTATCTAGCAATAGATAGACTTTTTTTACATATAGTGTGGTGTATTCGTCGGACAGTGACGTATTTTACTTTATATATCACCGAATCAAGTTACTTGGGTATTAAAAAATTAAAAAATATCATCGTTCGGTTTCAGCAGTACAGAAGATGTACTGCGCCGAACCCAAGTGATTAGGTAATGGGCAGGGAGAAGAAGAAGATCATATTTTGCTTTTACTTAGTTGTATTATTTGTGGTAATTTTATCACGATCCTATTTATTGGGTCAAACACTGGCCTTTACAAAGTAAGTTGTATAATTATGCTTCCTTATAATTATGTCACTGTAAGAAGTTGCATGATTACCGATAATTCATGTAGATGTAAACCAGGAGTTTAGATAACCGTTATAGGTACCTGTAAATGAATCTAGATTTACTTTGTTAGCTATTACCCTCTAATGCTCCATGCTTTGCTTTGTTCAATAAATATCAGCCCCGCTGATCTAGACAAGCTTGATTTAATCGTCACGTAACATCTGATGGTAACTTCTTACTGAGATAAAGGATATGGTTGGATACAACAATATTCGCACAGTTTTAACTTTAGGTAATAATATTACCGAATACGCCTATAGGTAATCAATAAAGATATAAGTGACATATTCTGATGAATTCAATTGTAAACGACATAAATTATTATAATTAAATCTATAAAATACAACAAATTGATTGGTCGTGCATGACAAGACCAACTAATAAAATAACGCGAAATGCCTATATTCGATATTACTGTACTATACGTGATAAATGTTTTATTACCCTACGTTAGCTATTATTTTCAACTGTTAGCGGTTTCGATTGGTTTTTTATATACTATAAATATTTGCCTTTTGACCTTCAAAAAGGTAGGAGTAACTGAATTCGAATGTACGTATGTTTTTTATGTCTATGTAACGCAGAATCTTTCATGACTTTTTTTTAATAAATAGTTTAGTCCCTCCACGACCGCAGACACGCCGGCGTGTCAGTTAACATAGATTTCTTAGAATTGTAATTAATTACTAAGAAATTTACCTGGAGGTGTTAATTAAAATGCGAAAGCTTATAGGCGGAAAAATGGCATAATTTTAATATAACAGTCACAGAAGTTTTGGTATTTTTACGTAAAAATAATTATAGTAATCAAAATAAAATTAATCACAGCGTCCGGGCGGAACTGGATAATTCTTTAATTTTGTATGATTATTGATAGAAGAAATTATAGAATTATCTCATGTTTCTAATCTGGAGAGAGTTTCAAGGTTCAACCTTCCTCTGGTATTATATTTTTTCAAATAAAACGCCGGACGTCACGTTCAAGTTGAACGATCGAGGACGCCTCCGATGCTTTCGATAGGACAATTTGTTTGTAACACCTTTTAGTCGATTTTCTAATCCGTATGGTAGTGTATTGTATTTTAAATTACATGTTTTTGTTCTTGGTTTAGTCTTGAAACGGTGTAAATCTATTTAACCGTCTTGAAACCCGTTACGTAAAGCAAGGTCAATATCGGTATGAAGTCAGATCATCTGATATGTTTACCTAAAAAGTTAATCTTTGGTTTGCGATCTTGACATGATCTGAACTTCGTGCAACCTGTAACAAATGATCTCGATAACGAGGTTCATTGACCTACAGACAAATAATAAAAATACCATTTGTTAATTTTGTGCATTGTGTTCCAAGTATTTGAAATATTGCATCTTATTGCTATCTATCTATTGTACATCGAGTTTTTCGTTGTGGCTATTCTTTTAATTTAATAAGAATAACACACACACTTTTAATTTAATGCAGGAAACGATTTATTTTAGGTAAAATGGAACATAACTATTGATTCGTTTTTTTTGCAGGTTTATTTAGATTTTTTTTTTCAAAATTTTGAGTGCTTTACAGCCAACATACCGGGATGTAGACGGAAATGATCACGATAATTTCCGAATTATGATGAATCTATACTAATATTATAAAGAGGCAGACTTTGTTTGTTTGAACGCGCTAATCTCAGGAACAACTAATCCTATTAGAAAAATTCTTTTTGCATTAGGTAGCCGGTTATTGAAGAAGGCATAGGCATATCATATAATATATTATAGTCTATCTATTTCATACTAACCGTTAAAACATAACTCCCTAGGCGAGTGAGGAGGTATGAACCCGAGCGAAGCGAGGGTGAGTCGCTAGTGTTTTATATAAAATATCAAATATTTGCATTAACCTAAAAAAGTATTAAGTGAAATTAATAAAAAACATTCTAAATAGAATAATGTCATCAAAATTACATCGTTAGCAAAAATACCAGTTATTAAGGTGATACAACATACAGACAGCCCTGCAGCTATCGAGCTGCGTATGCAAACATTACGTTCGCGCGTTGATTGACGAGTAAACACGATAATGATCAATCAACGCAATCTAAATCAGACGTATTAAATGAGCCTCATATACATGAATTGCAAATGAGATGAACTGAATTATGTTACTTGTAAATTATTGTAATCTTGCATTCTTAAACATGTAATGGGAGTTTTTTTTTTGTTTAATCTAATTGGACTACTGTTATAAGCGCGGAAGTTTGTATGATTGTTATTTCTTTACACTGAAATGGCAGGACGAATTTTTGAATTTTAGTATTCAAATAGACAAACACCAGAGTAACACATAGGCTCCTGTGAGACACCTAAGAACGCATCCAAGTGAAACAAGGGTAAGTCGCTAGTATATATTATGTACATATATGTATAACACAAACAAAATTGATGGGGCGGTTTGTAAGTTTGAACAAAATATATCGATATTAAGTTATTTACACGTGGCCGGAGGTTTTTCAACTTTTGAAAATTTTATTTTATTCGTATACATAACAACTTTCAATCTTCACAAGTATTTCTGACGGGAGAACAATTTAGATTATAAGTGCGCCATGAGACCGCTACGATTCGGATTCGGGACAGATGACAATATAATGTTCTATCGTAAGTAAGATGTGTAGAACGATAGATGTTCAACGTATTTAAGCGTCAAAACAGTTTTTATTTTTAATAATTAAATTTAGTACAAAATTTCCATAAGCACACACTCATGTAAGTACATTCTTAAAATAAGTGTAATATTTTTAAGGCTCATAACTAGAGAGCGGTGGCAACTTTTTACTTATTTTAAAACACCGATAAAATAGATCACAATTAACTTAACTATGAATAATTTAATATGTGAAGCAAAAATTGTAATTTAATTCGTATAGAAAATATAGGAGAAAAATATTATTAGAAATTAAAAATAAAACTACTGATGTTCTCCTAGCCGATTCCGGCCATGGCGGCCAATCTCAATGAGATTAGCCAACTGCGCAGGAGATATTATAGTGCTCAAGTGTACGCGCAGACACAAGGCACTCTCTATTCCTATCACTCTCATACTCCGGTGGGACGACCACTCGACACGACCGGTGAGAGTTAAGGCGCAGGACCGACGGCTTTACGTGCTCTCCGAGGCACGGGGGTGAAACACCGCCAACTTCCCAACTCCGGGCTGTTACTGAGACTTACTATACAGGAAGACTCAATAACTAAACTTGGCCCGACCCGGGACTCGAACCCAGGACCTCCGGGTGTGCAGCCGTACATGCTAGCCACTACACCACCGAGGCTACTACTATGCTATAATATACTACTAACATGCCATACATATATGTATTTTCATTTAAAAACTTTTATATGATCCCTTAGTAACATTATTACGTCGTAAATCGTGTTGTAGCATGATATCTTTTTACCGTTATGATTGTGTGTTCACTATGAAAACGTGCACTTCTATAGTGGTCATAAACTTATAGAGTGAGGTCTAGAACTAAAATCTATATGTTCATTTGTAAAAATTAATTCTTTTATTGTTGGCCTTAACTTTTTTATTATTTTAGTAATTTCTGCGTACGAAAGAGAAAAGTAAAAAGTAAGAAACCTAATATGTAAGAAAGTTGTTTCTTACTATTTAAAAATATAGTAAAAAAAATTTTTTCATAAGAAATGCGAAATAAACGAAAATTCTTATTAAATTATTGTGTATTTATTCAAGAGAATGTCGAATCTTCATTTAAATATTCTAATTTGTGAGATTGCACCGAACAATTGCACCGCAGTTCACGCACCGTTCGTTGCCCGCGATCTACCTCAACCAAGTTCAGAGCTCCACGTAACCACGTAATCACTTCCGATGGGAACTGATTTATGTATGATGATGCTTTATCTCATAAACGTTTATTTATTGGACAATTATAGGTATTTATGTGGTTTATATATTGTTATGAATTTAAACTTTAGTTTAATCATTAAGATACTATAACGTCCCAAAATAATTTTACCCAAAAGATTATTCTATAAGTTAAATTAAATTAATCGGAATAAAATCAAATCATTTCTCGACTAAAAATTTAAGTATATAAAAAAAAATCGGAACAATTTCTTGATCCTTTGTTCCATAAAGTAAATAATATTATTTAAATATTATTTTTAACGTAACCAATAAAAATTCAAGGCACTCACATAAAATCATGTTTAACGAGTAAAATTTTCCAATACTACAATTGAAAGGCCCTTCAATGTATAGGATCCCCTTAGAACCGGCTATAAAACTGAAAGACGAATAGACATTCCTACCATTAGATAACCTTACAAACTGGCAGTAATTAGAAATGCTTCGTCCAAAGAACACTAATTGGGAATTGTGCTGTAAAAGCGCTAACAAACGGTTCAAATAAGCTAATGAACGCTAAGAAAGCTTTTATGTATTTCTCTGTACTATCTTCACAAATTACAAACTATTTTCTTAGAATATGTAATTGTGAATAACAATAGCTATAAGTTTCAATTAGATATTTGAAATATTAGATATAATGAATGTCCCATTAATATTATAAATGTAAAAGTTTGGATGGATGGATGTTTGTTTGTTACTGAATCACGCCAGAACGGCTGAATGGATCTGGATGAATTTGGCATAAAGATTATAGTCTGGAATATCACATATGTTACTTTTTATCCCGGAAAAATGTTCTGATTCCTTGGGATAGATTTATTTTTGTTTTTCACCAGGGACAAACCCGAGCGAAGCAAAAGGGAGTCGCTAGTATATCTAGACGTATCTATCTAGATTCCTTTTATTGACTTTTATTTTTTGTGTGTTAAGGTTCTTTGGTCTAATCTTTTCAATAGATATCAAATCTATGTTGTAATACTGTTTTTTCTTCTTCATATCAACAAGAGTTGCTTCGACAGAGACTGCTGTGGTATATGATATACAAGACACAAGCGTGAAACGAGTTGAAGCTCAATTTATACGTAGATTTACTACAGCTTATATATTTGTATAGACATCTCGCCTTATACCGTAAGTTCAATTTAGATAACAAATTCCATATTGTCATAAATCGATAAAGTTATTAGTAGGTAGTAGGTACTTCGATCACAGGTTTACTTAAATTAAATATTTATATTTCCTTATCGGGCTTACAGTTAGCAAATACATGCAACAGGTTTCTCAGTATAGCGGTCCAGTAATTCAATACTTCAGGTTTCCGTTCCGGACTGCTTCCAAGTACGTAAATATTTTATGCTCTATATGCGAATGTACAGATGAATAGGGATATTCTAAATATGTGCTATAAATACCAATCAATTAGTCAATTTTGTTATTTTTATATAGAACTAGCATTGCCCGCGGCTCCGCCTGCGTTCAGATGACCTAAAACCAAGTTTTTAGGTTTTATACAGTGGTATACTCTTACATTGCAGTTTTTGTATTTTTTCTCAGAAATGAGACATTTTCCCGCGGTATAAAGTATCCTCTATGTTGACCCGGATAACCAGCTATCACCATACCAAATTTCATCAAAATCCCTCTAGTGGTTTTTCCGTGATACGGTTACAGACAGACAGACAGACAAAAATTCTAAAAACTATAGATTCGACCTCTGTATCGATAATAATGTCTATTTTAATAAGATTTTTCAAAAAATATTTAATGTGCAGATTCGACTTAGTTGGAATTTTATTATATGTATAGATTTTTAAGCACATGTGCAAATTAAACGCCACTTAAGATAACTTTGCTTATTAAAAAATGACAAATTATATGAAAGCTCGAGTTCTGAGAATGTTCATTCCAGAGTTTTGAAGGTCAAGTCTTTGTCACTAAACCAAAAGATGTTACTTATATCATGTGTCATAGTCCATAATAGTAGGGGAGCCCAAGAGGGGACTTTTGTAGTTACTCAAGCGCGGCAGATTAACATAAAAGAGGTTAGAGCCGAAGAGGCAAAAATCGACTATAAAGGTTAATTGATTGTTGTGTTGATTTTTGCCTCTTAGGCTTGTGCAAATCGGCAGATTATTAAATTGGACACTTTTCAGGATGTGACTAGCCTACCACACCATAATCTGACGGTTTCAAGTATTTCTACCTTATCAAAACTTTTTTTAAATATTTTAATCGGCATCCCTAAACGCGCCCCTTTATATAGAAGACTTATATTGTGGTGAAAGTACTCAATAGAGTGCAAGGTAACCTCTTTTATGTTAATCTGCCGCGCTCGAGTAACTACAGAAAATCCCCTCTTGGGCTCCCCTACTATAAAGACTGTTAATACAATGACTAAACAGCGCCATTAATCGGATGCAAAGCTATGAATAAAATTACACCTATTGCAGTATATTTTTTAAAAGTCATGAAAAATGGGGCCCCATCTTATATTTGAAGGGAAATCATATATCAATAAAAAATTACACACGTTCCCAAGGGATGAATATTTCTTTTTTAAAGTGATTAAGAAGTCATTGTACTTTTGACTTAAAACCTTATTATAATATAATTCTTTTCTTTTATTGTCTATCTGATAGATACTATTCGCACCATATTCAATGTAGTGATTTCACATTGTGACCTAACCACTTCTTTAAAGGAAAACATGAAACATCGTATGCATAAGTAGTGCGATTCCGGAAGCCATTGTTACTATTCATGAGTGCACTCCAACCTCCTTCACAAGAAACATATAAGAGAACAGGTTCAAACATCAAACTAAAGCTTCATAGACCGTACTACGAGTATAAGTACATCGAATTTTAAAATACTTATTCAGTGGAAAATTATTCGAGAGGCAATATGGTAATATCAAAAATACAAAAATAGTCAAATCTAGATTGTAGATCTTAGAAGTAGGAAAATATACTTGAAACACGTGAGAAATACTTGTTGGCTAGTAACTTTATTTGAATAAGCAGGATTTGAACCGGCGATGATATATATATATATAAGACGAAATGATATCCGATATAAATAGAGTTTTAATATTTACATTTAAATTTAAATTAGTATCTGCAATATAGGTAATTTAAAAAACTTCAGAAGTGGAGTATAGTTAGCGAGCTAGTTACTTCAAATCTAATACTTGGGGCAATATTTGAATGCAATTCGCTCAAAACTAATTAAACTACAGAAGTTTAATGGAATTGCACGTGTGAATGTGAGAGAGTGAGAGAATTAGTATATGTGAGTTGAATATTACATCGAAGCATTACCAATTCGAATCGACAGCGCTATGATTGCGGTTGCCACTCGCATAGTTAATTAATTCATTTATCTTTCCTACTTATCATGAAAGTTAAAATGTAAACACTTTGTAATATGCCAAAGAAGTTTTAATTTTAATATTCTATAACAATATTCATATTTTCTGTATGTATAAACATACAGACATGTCCTGATAGATTGATTCATCAACGCCAATAACAAATACTCACTTAGTAAGGTTTTTTTTAGAAATTCAACGCTTTAAGGAAAACGATGAAATAAGTGGCAAATGTTTATATTAACACTATTTCTTACATTTATATTCAGGTCAGTATTGTCCTGTTTGCCTATTCCAATACTATAATAATATTAAATTAAAAAAAGTATATAGAATGTTCATTATACATACATATATACCTATCTATTTGATTATATTATGATGACAATCTTCTTATATTTGGAAATACATTATATGTTACTAAGTTATTTCAAAATTGGTAAAAGTATTCTTAAATGGAAAACAAAAGTACGTACTAGACGCTTATCTAGTCACGACTTAAAACCCTCCTAGTAAGGGACCCTTAATGGTACCTTTTCACATGAGCAGAAATATTCTAAAGCTTTAGCGTTGATGTATGCATAAGTACAGCTTTCATATTAATGTGCATAATATTTGAAAGCTTTTAAATAAATATTATGAGATATAAATATATAGACTTTTTTATATTTAATCCATATCTAGACAGATAAATAAAGGCGAAGTGTCTGTTTGTAATGTCAAAATAACAACTTTTTACTAAATGAATATGAAATTATATACCGTAGATAAGTAATAGGTACTTAGAAGAAAAACCCAACTTTTAAAATTTTTTTGTCTGTCTGTTTGTTCCGGCTAATCTCCGAAACGGCTGGACCGATTTAAACGTGACTTTTACTGGCAGATAGTCAATGTTATAAGGACTAAGTTAGGCTACTTTTATTTTAGAAAAAAAATCAAGAGAGAATTAAAATAAAACAAACCTACAGACGCACTCGAGCGAAGCTATGGTAAGTCGCTAGT